CTTCCCGGCACCCCACCGGACCCTGCTCCCTTCCCGGCACCCCACCGGACCCTGTTCCCTTCCCGGCACCCCACCGGACCCTGTTTTGTAACCGGACAGTATAAATATCTCAGATGAAACCCTCGGTGGGACGGCCCCTGGGATGCACGCCTGGGGTCCGTCGCCGGCCGGCTCAAATAAACGCGCTCTCAATTAAAGTCAATTGGGTGTGATGCTCTGATTTCTCTCGGGCGTCCAGTTCAAAGGTACCACTTCTACTTTATACATGCCCATCCATTCTCCCATCCACCACTGTTTTCCAGAAAAGAACCTCTGAAATACAGGCAAAATTTCTTTGTAATAAATGCAGGGCATTCACATTGTTTTGCTGTGATGTAACTGATAAAAGAAAAAAAAAGTTTACTCTGCTAGAATTATTTCTAGTTTATAGAACTAGATCTGGTAATGAAAATTCCCATAAAAAATTTAAAAAAATTGAACAGTGAATTCAATTAAGAAACTTGGAATTAATTTAAAATATAAAATATCTATAATTTTATTATCAAACCAAGTTATACATAATACGTGTCTTTGTGTTGCTCAACTTACATTGATTTCAGACTTGTGAAAGGTCTGAAAAATAAATGTTGCATATATGTTTTTGTTTCCAGACCTTGACCCTTATCTCCAATTTTTGCTCCTTCAAAGCAGGATAGGAACTGCTGCTTTTGGAGCCAAAAGAATGTAGCCATAGAGTTGTTAAGGAAATTGGTCATTTACTGAAAGCCTTTATTTTATGGATTAAGAAACTGAGACCCAGGGAGGCAAAGTGAATTGACCAAGATCAAATAGGTGATGAGCAGTCTAGGAAGGATTTCAATGGCAGAAGGAGGGGGATTGTTTTCTGACTTCATATCTATGGTGCTTTCTGTTACAACAGTTTCCCTTCCCCCCCTCCCCCCCAATTCCAGTCCAGGTGTAGGTCCAGGCCCTGTGAGTTTCTAGGCAAGTCACTTTCAATCCAATCCATTTCCACAAACGTTTATTAAATATTTATTCTGGAGAGGGGACAGAGATTACAAAATTTTTAAGAAGATAAAAAAATTGATTCCTACCCTTCATGGTGATTACTGTCTAAAGCGGGGACAGGAAGAGATAACATTCTCTCAGTCGCTGCCTCTTCATATGCAAAAAGAAGGTAAAGCTGTCGAGAAAAGGCTTTGTAAAATGTCAAGTTCTACATAAATTTCCCCCTTGGGGAAAACTTGGGGAAGAAGGAGAAGGGGACCTTTGGCTTGGTCTAGGTTTTCCACAGCGTTTTAAAAAAATTCTGGGTCATTTTCTGCCTCCGTAGACCAACTACAGCATTGGTGAACGCTTCTTTCTTCTGGGATTCTCCGACTGGCCATCGCTCCAGCCGCTACTCTTCGCCCTCATGCTCTTCTGTTACCTCCTTACCCTGGTTGGCAACTCGACCCTCGTGTTCTTGGCGGTCCGTGACCCCCGCCTCCACGCGCCTATGTACTACTTCCTCTGCCACCTCGCCCTGGTGGACGTATGCTTTACCACCAGCGTTGTTCCGTTGCTGTTGGTCAACCTCGGGGGCTTGGCGAGGGCGCTGTCCCGCGCTGGGTGCATGACCCAGCTCTACCTCTTTCTGGCTCTGGGTTCCACTGAATGCGTCCTTCTGGCCGTGATGGCGCTGGACCGCTCGGCTGCCGTGTGCCGTCCGCTCCATTACACAGCCCTGGCCTCGCCGCGCCTCTGCCGGGCGCTAGCGGCTGCCTGTTGGCTGAGTGGGTTCACCAATTCGCTGGCGCAGACCATATTACTGGCCACGCGGCAGTTGTGCGGGCCCCTGCGCGTGGACCACTTCATCTGCGAGCTGCCAGCCCTGTTGAAACTGGTTTGCGGGGGCGGGGGCGCCGTGGAGCGGCAGATGTTTGCTGCTCGGGTAGTTATACTGCTGGTGCCCTCTGCTGTCATCCTGGTCTCCTATGGGGCTGTCGGCCGGGCTGTGTGGAAGATGAAATCCCAGACAGGGAGGAAAAAAGCAATGGCGACCTGCGGTTCCCACCTCACCGCTGTCTGTCTGTTCTATGGTTCTGCCATCTTCACATACCTGCAGCCCACACATAGTTACTCCCAAGGGCAGGGCAAGTTCGTCTCCTTGTTCTACACTGTGGTCACTCCTGCCCTCAACCCCATCATCTACACCCTGAGGAACAAGGAGGTGAAGGGGGCAGCGAAAAGGCTTCTGGGCAGAGTAGAGTGGAGGGAGAGATAAGGATGGAGTTAGGGAGAGCTTCTCTTCTCAACCCAAGGGTCACATTATTTGTCAGTGGGCCAGTCCATCACTCTGAGTCCTCATGGATTGTGGAGTGGTGAGCTCAAAGAAGTCATAAAACTAATGGCATGAATAGATCTTGCCCATTGAGTGCTCCCAGACTGATGAAGGAGATGCATCCCCATCATCCAAGTCCACATTTGATAAGTGAAGCATAGTTCTCAGCTTAGATATTCTCCCAGTAGATGGGGCTGCTGTTCTAAAGAAGCTTCCAGTTTGATAAACGACATATGGTCCCTGCCTTTGGGGAACTGTGAGAGGAGACTAGACCAACACATAAGAAGCAGACATAACATATAGACTAGGGTAGTCTATGCAATCAACAGACTTCTATACATAAATGGGCAAGGAGGGGACACAAAAAGGATTAGGATGAGAAAAGTCCAGTGGGCATAGTCAGGTCAGTCCTGGGAGAGGAAGGACTTCTTGAGATTTTGAAAATACCAAAGGATTTAAGTAGTGGATAGAAAGCAGAGGGGCATCTAAGAGAAAAGCCATGACCCATATATAAAAGGTATAGAGGTTAAATGAGGAAAGGACAATCTTGGGAAGGAGAGAAAGGGGTGGACGGGATCTAATGAAACTTCAAAGCCCCACTAGAGGGTTTGGGGATTGTTAAAGGAGGTGAGCTAAATAGGAATGACAACAGACAAGTAGTCCCCCATCTTTCCTAAACTCTTGTCACAGGCAGGAGAATAATCGCCCAAAACTATTTCCTGGAAGACTTCATTTCCCTTATGGTACCAACCACTCTTGTAGGAGAGAAAAACAGAAGCACATCTTTCCTTGTTGCCCCTATTTCTCAAGACACATAAAGGAGTATTCATTTAAAAGATGGGAGAGGTATAAAATACATAATTTTACATCAGATAAAGTCAAAAGCAGGACAAAAGAACAGTTTTCTTTCTTTCTCTTTCATGTATTATAGTTTAGTGGTGGCAGGATAATTAGTTCTCTTCATGATCAATTTATCTCCATTGTGGTACAGGAACAAAAAAAGAGTCTCTTGTCTGTTAACCTGGAGAAACCAAGATATTCTCCCTTTTCCCAATATCCAATTTACTGCAGTGGAAGAATTCTTCAACTGAGCGTCAAGAGAAAAAAATTTCTAATGTAGTCTTTAAAATTTAATTGCTACATGACCTAATTTTATATCCCCTTCAATAACTATAACCCAACAGGTTCCTATGTACAAAAAGCATTTAAAGGATTTTATTTAAATATCACATTAGCAGTATACTGTTATAAAATTATTATGCTTGAAATGAATTCCTTAGTTACTTTTCCTCCAGCCATCTCTTTTTCTACTTGCTCTCTACTACTGTACTTCACCACCACCACCACTACTCCTCTTCCTTCTCTATTTTGTCTACTTTCTTCTCTTCCTCATTTCCCCCACTGAAACAAACAAAACCCCTGTAAGAAATGTAAAATATAAAAAATAAAAATACATAAGTGAGGCAGGAATTGAGAATAAAGGATTGAGTAATAGAGGATTCCTCTCCTCTGGCTCCTCTTAGTGGGCTTTAGTTGCCTTCTCTCCCCACTTGCTCTTTCATTTTCAAGAGAGGTAAAGGATCTTGGGCTGAAAGAAAGTGGGCTGCCTCTGGCTCTTTTGGCAGAGCCCTCCTTGAAATGTGTTTGATAGCACAGGATCCCTATAAGGGAATTAATTAGGAAGAATGAGAACTTTCTAACCCTTTATCAGATTGAGAGTTGGAAAAAGACCTTACTTACCCCACCTGAACAGGAGAGGTGAGGTTCAAAGGCAGATTAAATGCCTCTAGGTTTTACTAAATTGTTTGACTATTCTGTGTTCCAAAAGAACTAGGCTCTAGGAGTAAGGATTTACCATCTGTAGGGGAAAAGCCTTCCACAGTAAATGATCTGGGAACTAATAGATTTCATGATGGCAAGCAAAGCTTGTGAGGGATTTTCCCTCACCTGATATTGGGTGTATGAAGGGCCTTGTCTGGAAAAGAGAAGCTTAAGCCACTGCGTTCTAAGCTAAGCAAGAAATGATAAAGCCCATTTTTCCTTTTGTAAAGAAGAGGTAGCAAATAAGCGTTTATATAGTGACTCAGGCTCTGAACTCAGCTCAGTGAAGATGAACTCAGGCAGGAGCAGCAGCACAATGACATTGCCAAAAGACATCAGTGGCAGTGAAGTTTCGGAGAGGGGAGTAACCTCTTCTCCAATGTGCCTTGTCCATAATTGTTCTGTAGGGAACTCTGGGCCTAGAGTCAGGGAGACCTGAGTTCAAATCCTGCTGTAGTCATTTTCTAGCTGTGTGACCCTGGGCAAGTCACTTAACCCCAATTGCCTAAAAACAAAAAACAAACAATAAAACACAACAAAACAAAACAAAAGTCTCTGTGGCTGGGAGCACCTTGGTTTCCACAAAGATGCTACTGTTAAAATCCAGATTCCCACCTCTAAGTGTGGATAATTTTGCCAAATGGCTGCTACTGTCAAACCAATGATTCCAGAAGCTTTGTGCCAAAAGACTTAGTTTTGGAAATCTTTATGCCCTTCCATTCTTCCTAAGAGGTTTTGTTCAAGTGACTATAAAAAAAAACAAAACCCCTCCTCCCCTAGATTTATTGCAGCACTATTGATGGATTTACTGAGTGATGTTTATTATTTAATCTTCAAGAGAACATTCTGGATTTTGCATGTTTTGTTTCCACATATTTTTGTTTCATCATCACCACAACCCTCTTTGGTCTAAGCTTCCTATTTTGATGTACAAACTGACTTATATGTGAATGTATACATTGAGTAATCCAGATTTGATGATATTTCTGAGGAAGTATGAAAGGACAGAATTGTGAAGGAGGTAGATTATGAGTTTAAGGGAAATATTTTCTCCCCAGAAAAAAGTAACCTTTGAAATCAAAGAAACAGCTGGAGACCTTCAGATTAGCATGGATAAGATGAACCTAACTGATCTTATCTTGAAGGAAGTCTCCACTATCTTAGAGATCTCTTGCCCTACCACAGTAGTTTGACTAGACAACCGCAGAGAAATGCATTGTTCCACTAGAAGAAACTTGATCTTTGGAAACTCCAGAGACCCCAAGATTAACATGCTCTAACCCCACATTTAACACATTCTTCCCCAAATTACCTAACATCCTGTCCCTATTATTCAACCTCCCAAAAAGGAAAGTGGCTGAGCAGCCTCATTTGATAAGTTGCTTGTCTATCTCTTTTTGTTCAGGACCTTGCTATTCAACTGGCAACCACCCATCCCCAGTCAAAGGAACTATGGAAGGAGGAATTCCTTTCTGGGAAGATCTTTAGACCTCTGGTTTGAGGAGTTACCCAATGATACCCCACCCTCATTGCTTCCTTCTCTTGTTTTCCTGGGTACCTGTCTTCATAAATCCCCCTTTCTGCTGCCTTTGGGCAGCTTCCCATGCATTTTTATGCATCCATCACTCTCAGAGACTCCCAGCCAATTCTCACATCTCTCACTCTTCTTTTTCTTCCCTGATAGAAGGTAAATTCCTTGAGGAAAGGGATAGTTCCATTAAAAAAAAAATTATCTTTTGTTTTTACTAACCTAGATGCATCCTTACACTTTCCACTACCCCAAAAGCCCATTACAAAACAGATAAGAATGAGTTATAAGGATTATCAAGCCATTGTTTCTTGGCTATACTTACTTCACTTTGCATTAGTTCACATAGGTTTTTATATGCTTTTCTGTATTCATAATATTCATTGTTTTTAACAGCACAATAATATTCTGTTACATTCATGTACCATAATTTGTTTCATTTCTTTGTATCCCTAATGTCCAACATAGTGCCTGGAGCATACTAAGTACATAAAAATTCTGGTTGATTGATTTTCTTCAGTGCCACCTTCCCTCCTGCTTATTACCATTGAATAGCACACTTATGCCCCACCCTTCATTTTCTTTCTCCATAGCTTGTAACCTCTCTCTCCTCATTCTCTAGCTCCTTTCCTTTTCTCCCTACCCTATTTCTAAAAAAAAAAAAATCCCAATCCTGAGTCTCAGAGCCCATCCCTAGGAGAGTCCATTCCCTTTCAATTCTATTACTATAATTAACTAATTATCATAATGTAGTCCTTTTATTCTTGATACATTTATAACAACAAGCATGTACTGAGATCCACAAGTGGTACTAGGGAAAGAAAGATAAGGGGCTGAGGTCCTAGCATCTCCTCTGCACAAGGAAGGACAAAAGGGGATAAGAGACATCTAGACCGCATACTGTCTTTCTGCCATAGAATGTGCATTACAAACCTACATTAGAAATGTACTCAGAAGCCCCAAATTTGTGTGTAAGGCCAGAGGGAATATGGCCAGACAATAATGGAGGGAATTTAGCCCCAGAAGGTAATGGAAGGAGAGAGGGATAATCTTAGCATGTTCAAGAGAGGATGGAAGTGGTTATGGGATGAGTGGTACAGAATATTATAGAAGAGGGAGGAAAAGGGAAAGAGACTTAAAAGAATGTTACGGGGAATGAAGCACGTAGAATGCTGTAGAGAAGACAGAAGAAGAATCAGAATGTTATAAAGAAAGAACAGAAAGGGAAAGGGAGTGAAGAAGAATCCTAGAATGAGAGGGAGAGAGGGAGGATTATAAGATGATAGAGAAGAGGGAGAATTGGGTAGGAACAGAATATTAGAAATGATGGAGTTATGGCACCTGGACTCCTAAAAGGAAAAGACCATGTCTTTGGGACTTGGACCCCTAAAAGCTCCTGTACTTTCCCTCACTGGTGTAAGACTATGTCTTTGCCTGGAACTTTCACATATTGGCATTTTGCCTGAGGAATCTGGCCAACCTAGATACTGAATAAACCTTTTAACTGCCCTTTCACTGTGGCTCTCAGACCCAACCCAGACCACTTAACTCCTTTCATTGTCTGCACCAGGCC